GGCCTTGCAGCTCCACTGCCGAGCCCCATGAGGGGCCCGGCGGTGGACCTGCAAGGCCGGCGGGAGTGCAAGGAAGCCCCGCGAAGGCCCTCCCTGGCCCCAGGCAGGCAGGGGTGGGGAGAGGCAGGGAGGAAGCAACTTACCCTCCCTCTTCTCCTGCCTCCTCCTGGCTGAATGAGGGCTGGAAGCGGGGCGGCCGGAAGCAGGAGGCGGAGCTTCGTCATGTGCCCCACCCCCTCGTACCTCACTCGGGGGAACTGCGATCCCCTGCGATCCCCCCCGAAATGACCTCTGTTTATAGCTAGGATACGTCTATCAGTGGCTACTAGCCATGGTGACTGAGGGGAACCTCCACATTCAGAGGAACTAATCCTCTGAATCCCAGAGTGAGGAGGCAACATCAGGGGAAGGTCTCAGCCTCTGTGCCCAGCTGTTGGCCATCCAGAGGAGCCGATTGGCCACTGTGTGAGACAGGATGCCGAACTAGATGGGCCACTGGTGTGATTCTTATATTCTTAAGTTCTTAAAGATGCCAGTCGAAGGAAGCTTGCTGGCTGTGCGAACAAGAAGATGCAGAAACTTTAAACTATAAAGGGACTGAACAAGAAAGCCTGAAAAATAGCTGAGCAGCAGGGAACAGGCTGCTCCTGGTCGTTCAGCTGTTTTTGCAGCTTTCGTGGGGAACAGAAAGCAGGGGCTTAAAGGTACTTGAAGTCCCCTTAAACCTCTGCTTTCTTCTCTATCCACGAACCACCACGAACTGTTCAAAAAGTTCGTAAAAAGTTCATGACTGTAGATCTGTCACGAACTTCCGTTTGCGAACCCTGAACAGGGAAAAATTCACGATGAATTTTGCTTTATGATTTGGTCCGTGCCCATCCCTAGGGCAGATTTTTGAACCTCCCCGTCCACGTCAGTACAGCTTTGACAACTGTGTCCCTGCACAGCTGTCTGCTCTGGGAAGCCTGCCATCCCCCCACCACCAGAGGGCTTTCTACCTGTTTTATTAAACAGTGTTAGTAGGGTTACCAACTATGCACTGGGAAATTCCTGGAGGTTTTGGGGTGGACCCTGGGGGGGGGTTGGGGAGGGGAGGAACCTCAGTGGGGAATAACACGATAACAGAGCCCACCTTCCAAAGAAGGCACCTCCAAGGGAACTGATCACTCTAGTCTCGGGATCAGTTGTAATTCTGGGAGGCCCCACCTGGAGGTTGGCAGCCCTAAGTACTGGTGTATGGCACTGGTTTGGTAGCCAAGTGTGGCTGTCAAAGGGGCATCTCTTCCCACCCCCACATAGGCTGTGCTGTGATCAGTACTCACTGGCCAGTAATCATCCCCTTATTCTCCCTTCCACTCAGAGCCCCTACTGAGAGCACTTGCTTCATTGGGCTCCAGCCCTGATCGGTATGCTGCTGACCAACACAGGTCCTGCCCCCAGTACTGCCTTGATGCTCTCCCTTTCCAGGTGCAGGAAGATAGAAAATAGAGGTACCTGGGAGGAAAGGGAATAATGTAACATGGAGGTGGGAAGGAGCTGCAGAGAATTGTGCATCTGTATGTAGCCCTTGCCTAGGTCTGAGGGCTGATTGCCCAGCATCTGAGTAGGCATGTTGGAATACTCTGTGGTTCAGCTCACCGTTTTCCAGTTGCGAACAGGGAGCCGATTTTTTGTCAATCTGTTCGGCTGTTTAGAAACACTTCAGGCCTGTCTGTCATGTTTCTTGCATGTATTTGACTAATATAATGCAGCTGAGTACAATCAGCAATGCTTCACATATGGACACCCTTATAGAGCCTGATGTTGGTTTCCCACTCTCCCTGGAGACCTGTTGTCACTGCTCGCCATTTGGCAGCCAAATGTATAATCAAACAGTGAGCAAATTAGTCAGCCAGTGGCAATGAATCAACACTGTATATTTCTCTTTTTAAAACAGTGTTACTATTTGGTGTTCATTTCAGTTAGTGCTATCAAGATTATAACATGGATATGCATTTTCATGCCGCCTTATGGAAGACCTGGCCAACCATGACTGTGGGGGAGAACTGATTTCAGTACCACCACAGCTACTGTGCAGCTACAACACTGTTTGGAAGTCATTTGAGGTGGCCGGTGGACAGGTCAGAGGTCTGTCTCATGGGTGATCATAGCTGGTGAATGTAGAAGAAGAAGAGGAGGAGGAGGTTGGATTTATATCCCGCTCTTCACTCGGAGTCTCAGAGTGGCTTACAATCTCCTTTCTCTTGCCCTCCCCACAACAGACACCCTGTGAGGTAGGTGGGGCTGAGATAGCTCTTTCGAGGATTGCCCTTGATATAACAGCTCTGAGAGGACTTGTGACTCACCCAAGGTCACTCTAGCAGCTGCATGTGGAGGAGTGGGGAATCAAACCCGGTTATCCCAGATTAGAGTCCGTGCTCTTAACCACAACCCCAAACTCATCAAGCAGGTCCATGGCAAAGGTCAAAGCACCCCCCACCTCTGAGACCTCTAAAAAAACTCCATTTTAAATTGAGAATAGTGGTCACTTGGAGGTAGATTCAACCATTCTCCATTGTCCAACTTAAATGTCTCTTCCTCCAGTGGAAGAGTCACTCAAGCTGGACAAAGCCTCCTTAGACTGGAGGAAGGCTTCCAACTTGAGCCCAAATGAAAGACAACACATAAATACTTTAAATTTTGATCAGTGGAGCAGGAGGATAGGGTTAGGATCCCCCCCTCCCAAAATCTTGTCCATAAATGCACTGAAAGGGCTGTGCTGAATTTTTGGGGCAGCCCCCCCCCCAAAAAAAATGCTCTATGAAGGATCTCCACTTTCCCCCCCTGCACTGCAGGGAGAAGAAGAAGAGATTGGATTTATACCCCGCCCTTCACTTGGAGTCTCAGAGCGGTTTACAAACTCCTCTCCCTTCCCCTCCCCACAACAGACACCCTGTGAGGTGGGTGGGGCTGAGAGAACTCTGACAGAAACTGCTCTTTTTCAAGGACAGCTGTGCCAGAGCTTGTGACTGACCCAAGGTCACATCAGCAGGTGCAAGTGGAGGAGTGGGGAATCAAACCCGGTTCTCCCAGATTAGAGTCCGCACACTTAACCACTACACCAAAGGGGCTGTTGCTAAGTGGTAAAGCATCTGCTTGGGATGCCGAAGATCCCAGGTTCAATCCCTGGCATTTCCAGTTAAAAGGATCAGGTTGGAAGATGTGTGGTCTCTGTAGGCTGGAGATGATCTGTAATTCTGGAGAATCCCCAAGTCCCATCTGGAGTCCCTTCCCTACCCTGATCCTTCAGAGACTCCCCTACTGACTCATACTGGAAATACTTCCTCGCTCAGTGCCAGTGTGTGTGGGGGATCACGCCATTTGGGCAAAATATTAGGTGTCTTCATCCATGTGCCAGGCAGGGCCAGGCCAGAACTGCACCCTTAAGGAAGAGGTGAGAAATCCCTCTCTCTTTCTTCTTTTCACAGATCACAGCTGAGGAGCTCCCATCTCTGGAACTTCACGGGGACTTCTGAAATGCATTCCCTCCCCCCACCCCACCCCCCCCTTATAGTCCACCTCCGGATGACTAGCGGGGTGTCTGAATCACGGCAAAGCTGTTCGCGGTATCCGTTGCAAGGCTGCAGACAGGTGTGGGCTAAGCAGTGTGGTTTCCTCTCCCCTCCCAGGGACACGCTGTTTTAATTTAGCTATAAAAATGGAGCGGCCTTCAGCCAGATCTGAGCCCCCTCCCCCAACCTTCTTCTCTTCCCCAGTTTATATCTCTCCACATCTGCACTTTCACCGCAAGCCACCCAATCTGGTCTGCAAAGAATGGTCTGCAAAGGGCAATAAATGTTTCACATGGATCTCTTGTGCTGGGATGTGTGGGTAACGTCAGAGAGCATCGAATTTGGTGGTAATGGATGTCGGGCCAAAGGCATGAATGTGTACAAGTCCCCCCATGGCAGTTGTGGTCCTTGCTTATGTGCACAGGGTACCGCAGGTATGTAGGCCTCACCTCCGTAAATCTCATAGGAACTTTCATGTCAGCTGAGCTCTTCATCAGAGGCTCTTCTCTGAGCACCCCCCTCCCACACTTTGGAAGTTAGGGAGTTGCCAGATGGAGTCCTTTTCTGTGGTTGTGTCATAGCTATGGAATTCTCTCTCAAAGGATATTTCCTTGGGTCCATTTTTGGGAGAAGACTGCCAGTTTGGTGTAGTGGTTAAGAGCAGTGGACTCTAATCTGGGAGAACTGGGTTTGATTCCCCATTCCTCCACATACAGCCAGCTGGGTGACCTTGGGTCAGTCACAGCTCTCTCAGAGTTGTTCTCTCGAGAACTGTTCTCTCAGAGCTCTCTCAGCCCCACCTATCTCACAGGGTGACTGTTGTGTGGAGCGGGAGGGAAGGAGAGTGTAATCCACTTTGGGACCCATAAGGCCTTCTGGGTGACCTTCAGAAGTATACCTACATTGTAGATGAAGCACGGAGCTGTGGTATAGTGGTTAGGAGCTGTGGACTCTAATCTGGAGAACTGTTTTTGATTCCCCACTCCTCCTCCACATGCAGCTGCTGGTATGACCTTGGGTCAGTCATAAGTTCTGTCAGAGCTGTTCTCTCAAGGGCAGTCCTCAAAAGAGCTCTTTCAGCCCCACCTACCTCACAGGGTGTCTGTTGTGGGGAGGGGAGGGGAAGGGAAGGTGATTGTAAGCCACTCTGAGACTCCAAATGAAAGGCAGGGTATAAATCCAATCTCTTTCTCTCTCTCTCTTGTTTACTTCAGCAATTGTGGTATAGCATTTTGCCTGGGCCAATGCAGGGTTACTGGTTACAGGGCTGGGTTAAAAGTCAGGCGATCTGGCTTCAGATCCTCACTGAGCCATGAATCCCACTGGTTAAACTTAGGCAGGGTTGCCAACCTCCAGCTGGTGGCTGGAGATCTCCCAGAATCACATGTTGGTCTCCAGCTGACAGAGATCGGTTCCCCTGGAGAAAATGATTGCTTCGGAAGTTAGTCTGTATGGCATTATGCTCTGCGGAAGTCCCTCCCCTCCTCAAATCCCATCCTCTCCAGGCTCCACCCCCCTCAAATCTCCAGCAATTTCCTAACCTAGAGATGGCAACCTTAGGCCAGACTAACTTACCTCATGGGGTTATTGAGAGGTGTAAAACTGATCAAAATGGACAGCTGGGCTGCTTTTAAAACTTGGAAAGGTAAAAAGACAGGCAACATATGGGTGCCTGTCTTTTTCCCTGGAGCTGCGGTGGCTCAAGTGGTTAAGACACTGAACTGCAGGCTGTGGAAGGTCAGTAGTTCAGCAGTTTGAGACCCGAGTTGCCCCATGACGGAGTGAGCCCCCGTATCTAGTTCCAGCTCCTGCCAACCTAGCAGTTCGAAAGCAAGAAATTGCAAGTAGATAAATAGGTACCACTTTGGTGGGAAGGTAACAGCGTTCCGTGCGCCTTGGTGTTTAGTCATGCTGGCCACATGACCACGGAAACGTCTTTGGACAGCACTGGCTCTTCGGCTTTGAAACGGAGATGAGCACCGCAACCCTAGAGTCAGACTCGACTGGCTTTCAAGCAAGGGAACCTTTACCTTTACCTTTTTCCCTATGGGAGCTTAAAGCAGGCTGGAAGAGGCATTGCAATCAGGGAAAAGGAATAAGGGAAAGAACTAAGGTTTCCAGCTCCATGTTGGTGCCTGTGGAGGGTGGCGTTTCGGAGTGGAGGGACCTCTGATGGGTATAATACCACACAGTGCACTCCAAAGCATCCCTTTTCTCCAGGGGGACTGATCTCTGCCACCTGGAAATCAGTTGTGATTTTGGGAGATCTCCAGGCCCCACCTGGACGTTGGCAACCCTAGAAAGAGCTCCCCTCTTACCCAGTGCTGCAGCCCAGATCTATATTGGGGGGCCCAGCGACTGCTTTTGGGAGAGGCAAACGGCATCTCAGGAGTTCTAATCGTGGGATTCCAACTTGGCGTACCTTTGATCCTCAGAAGGACAATTTTGTGTCTTAATACTTCACGTGTTTCTAGGCTGAAAAACAGGACTCAGAGGAAAGCTCCGGCCTTCCTTGTGCTGGGGCAGTTCTAAGTTGCACCAACCGCACATGGAAACAGCAAAGAGAAGCGAGTGAGCCTGTAGGATTGTCTGGAAACCACAGCTTGGCTAGAGAGCCTGGGCTGCTCCTTCTCCAGATGTTCACGGGAGCTGTTTGTTGCTTTGCCATCTCTTACATGGGCCAGGAAAAAAGAGATTGAGAGAGGATGTAGAGCAGTTCTTGGAAAACAGTGTCAGGTTTATAATATTCGATCTGGACACGGACCAAAACCAAGGACTTGGCAAGGGAACCGCTGGCTCAGCCTGGGATAGCTCAACAATGGTAATTCTAGGGAACAAAATTAGCTGAGTCTCATCTGGAGAAATGTCCCCCCCCCACCTCTCCTTATACAAATCCTGATAAAAGACGGGAATAAGCAAGACAGTCTTCCAGGGTACCTCTCTGAGTGTGACGGTCCAGAATTCCAGTCTGAAACAAGCTCAGTCATCCCTCCCATGCTGAATTCTTACTTCTCCTCTTCACTGTTTGTCTACCCCATGTCACCTTCCAAGGAATTTTGTTGCTTTGTTATGGTTTGGAAGGAAGCTAAGCTTTTTTGGAAGGATGATAAACGTGGCATTCTGCGAGGGCGCTCGGTTCCCAATCAAGCTTGAGCTGGCATTCATTGGAGGCCCACTGAAGTAATTTTTGCAGATAGAACTGTCGCCTGACATTGAAAGCAATTGCATGGCCAAAATCCACCTGCCAGTATCCAGTTCTCCTTCAACCAATTGTCCAAGGCAAAACTGATTTCTGTGTCCACTTGGCATCTGACTCTGATTCCCAGTTCCAGGTGCTCACAGCAGCTTGCCAGCCATTAATCACCATTGTCTGCCATCAGTGTCTGCCATCAATGCCTGGGCTATCTCAAAATCATTTTTCGTTTCAGTCATCTGTATTGACGCGGGTAAGATCCACAGATAAAGATAATGCTCACAGCGTGAGTTTTTCGCTGCTTGAAATTCCATTTGTAATGCATAAAGGAAAGACTTTCAAGCCAACGCTCTGCTTTGAGGCTTGTGTGGTCAGCATTCATCAGACAAGACCAATAGCCAATGTTGGCTCAGGCTTCAGGCTTGATTCCTCTAATCCCTTACTTGATCTCAATGAGAAACTAGCCCTGGGCAGATGTGTGGTTTTGGCACTCTAACCATGCAAAACAGGACCGCATGCCACCTGCCGTCCTCCTGATCCATGCAATCACCATCTTATGCAAATAACATCACATGCGTCCTTCCCCTTGACAAACCCTTCCATTACATATGAACACCCCCCTCAAAAACCCAGTGTTCCATTCACACATTCCACTGCTGGAAAAAAATAGGTGGGTTGTCTTAGGCATGCTAAATTGTGACTGCGCATATTAGGAAGATCATAAGCAGGGGTCGTTTCGTAGAAAAAGAGCTAGGGGGACTCATTAGCATAACTCATTAGTGTATGCCACACCCCCTGACATCACCGGA